TTTTTTTGAAGACAAGCTCCAGAAAAGGAACAGTTAGTTACCTAAATATCGAGTTTTTCTACGTCTTGCAACTGCACGTTGTGACAACATTACTTCCGCATGCACATGTACGCATTTGCACATAAGCTAAATCAAAAGTGCTGAATTTAAAAAAACTGAATTTTTGAGATCCAAGCCCTAAACTTATGCTGGATCGCAAACCTGAAAAAGCTCAAGGTTTCCTCCCTGCCTTGAAATGTAGTCTTAATTGTAGATTTTGTTCATAACTTGAAAAACACTGAAAGCTTAACTATAACGACGGTTTGCAAATCAGTGGTATTCAACAGTTACGCTTTACGAATCACGTATTTCTCAATGCATGCAACACTAGATGAATGAAATAACCAGAAACAGAGGATAAGAAATTAGAATTTGGTCCTGAAAGCCTGAGCATTGAAAACGAAGGTGACGCATACTGCAGATTCACGGGTTTGCCTGTGAATGATTAGACAGTTATGTCTATTTAAGTTGCAGCCTCCAGGTCAATCCTGGAGGTAGAGATGATGAGATGTGGAAGTAAACAAGAGTAGTGTAGGTAGGGAGTAAACGCAAGCTAAGACGTTTCGGTCCATTAAGCCATATACGTCTTAACCCGCCACTGCGACTGGACCTCGTCAGTATGACGGTCGCAGTGGATATGGAAGAAGGGAAAAAGAAAAAAGGGAAAAGGAAAAAGAAAGCGATGGACGTGTGGAGGTAACGAAAGAGTATTTGAGAAGACAGAGGTAATGAGGAAGAGGAGGTAAGAAAGATTGAAAGGGTGGAGAGAAGCGGGGGGAGGGGGAGTTAAAGACAGAAGGATATCAGTAGGAAGGCATAAAAATAAAAATCAAAAATATAAAAAGGTAAAAAATTAAGAGTTTTTGGGATTTAAAAAATGCTTAAGATTTGAAAAAATTAAAGGGGTAATAGCAAACCTCAATGGTGGAGGTTTTGCCATTGATATTATCGTCCCCAATTTGCTTGTTACGCTTGCCGGAGGCCATATCTGGAATTTGAAAGCAAATGTGTGGGGTACGTGAATGTAAATATACGTAAGCAAATCACATGACGCCGTAAGTTAAACAGCAATGAAGAGTATGAGGTTACGCGAGTAAGCTACGTAGCAGACGGTGACAATACGGGGCGGAAGGGGAAAATATTTGGAGAGTTGTAATCGATTTCTGTTTATAAAAGTACGGACTAATCGTTGAAGACGATCAGGAGGGAAACCTTTAGCGGTGTAATCAATGAATAGACGCTGTGCCGAACGTGTGAATCCCTGAGAGGAGGATTCAATACGTGAATAGCGAATCAGCTGGCTATATATAGTTCCGTCGTGAATCGATGGGTGTACGTTGCTGTGGAGGGAACAGAACCTATTGATATGGAAAGTGAAGTAGTGACTTTTGCAATAAAGAGCT